TCTAGAGACTGAACTCAAACTGCCAGGCTCAGTCCCAGACTGGGTCCTAGTCTCCGTCCCAGGCTCAGTCAGTCCCAGGCTCCATCCCAGGTGCTTCACCCATGGAGTCATCTCATCAATGGCCTGAAGAGTTTAATTCTAACCAAGTGTCTGTGTTAGTCAGCCTCGCATCTTCCCATCACTGTGATAAATTCCTGAGAGAGGCAGCTTACACGTAGGAAAGAGGAAGGTTGGGGAGAACACAAAACTTCATTGACAGACATTTAAAAGGGCCAAATGAATACCTAACTCCACCATGTTCACAGACTGGATGGCTCAATGCTGTAAAAATGGCATGGTTCCCCAAACTAATCTATAAATTCAATACAAATCCAATAACAATTCTAACTGTCTCATTCCATTTCTGACTTTCCAGTCTCATTCAAGGAGTTTGTAAGAAATAGGAAGGGGAATTCCTGGAAAGAAGCTGTGACCACAAGCGCTGACCAACTAACTGACAGAGAACTTCAGTGACATGGAGAGAATGTGGCAAGTCCTGAGCCATATTATCTTGGAGCATCTTTACCCTCTCAATAGCCACTTGCCACACTCCTCTGTGTGTGACCTAACATCTTTGTGACCGTCAGAGAATCCTTTGGTTGTACAGACCCCTGGGCCCCTAGTTTCCTAACCAAAAGGCTAAGAACACCATCCGACAGCATGAGGCTTATAGCTGGATCCCTCCGACTTGGCTGCCACCTGCGTGATGTTCCCACCAAAGTAAATGAAAAGCGTCTTGATCTGTTCTTTTGTTCTGTTCCCATAGAACTTCATCAATATGTTAATCAAGTTGGACCGAAGTATTTGTGGAAACCTAAATCTATGTTCTCAGGCTATGGTCTCTCATACTTGGTTCCATATCTTTTGTTCCTTTGAGGGAGGGCTGTTTCTTAGAACAAAGATACTGACATTGCCAAGATGCTCATGACCTTTAGGAAACACCTAGTAGGGCCTGGAGAGATGACTCGGTGCTCAGCTAAGAGCACTGGCCGCTCTTCCAGAAGACCTCGGTTCAGTTCCCAGCACCCACATGAAGGCTCACAACCATCTGCATCCCCAGTTTCGGTGGCTCTGGCCTCTGCAGACACAAATGTGGTGCACAGACATGATTGCAAGCAAAACACCCAGACATATATAAAATAAAGTCAAATAAAAGTTTTTTCCCTTTTATTTTTTTATTAATTTATTTTTTACATTCCAATCCCAGTTCCCCCTCCCTCCTTTCCTCCTGCTCCCTCCACTTCCCCTCTCACCCTACCTGCCTTCTGCTCCCTGATGAGCATAAGGCCTCCCCTAGGAAGTCTACTAAGTCTGTCCCATCATCTGGTTGAGGCAGGACCAAGGCCCCTCTCCACCCCTCACACCCCGAAAGATTTTTTTTTTTTTTTAATTAAGACGAAAAGCTTTTGGAGAAGCAAAGGGGAAGCCTTCAGCAGTAGTTTTGAGGTGAGGTTAAGCAACATTGTAATAAATTTGGGGGTTATCTTGGTTTTTTGCTCAGACCTTTTCTCTAAATTTAGTTAGGATTTCATAACATTGCCACAAGATTAGGCAAGCCGGCCAGGAATTTGAGTATAAACCAGCCTCATAACCACAATCACGCAGGAACTGCCCTGAGGACTGGTCACTCGAAAGGAAATTCTTTTAAATTGCATTTCCTCTTTACACTTCTCACATCCTCAGTTCAGAGAAGAAAGTAGAACTCAGCCAGACGTGGTGGCACATAGTGGCATGTGCCTGCCATGCCAGCACGTGGGAGGTAGAGGCTCCCGAGGAGCCTGTATCAAAGAAAAGCAGTACATGTACAATAGGGCAGGGCAGTAAAGACTGCAGTTCTGAACTCGGGGTGGGAAACGGTTCTCCCCCACAAGCCAACTTCTATCCGGCAAAGCAGTTCCTCCCAGGAGGATGTGGGCAAAGGCTTACAAGATTTTGTAATGTCCCAACTCCCCATCCTAAAACATCACTAACAAAGTCTCTTGTTACTGCTCTGAACAGAAATAGTTTACAGAGGGGCCTGGGACGTCACAGGAGGCAACCAAAAGCTTTTCAAAAGCAACTCTGACATGCAGGAAATGAACCAAAACTGTGGGATTCCCGACAGGAAATCAAAGCAGGAATCTGTGCTCTTCTGAAAAACTGCCAACTTGATGTCAGTCAGGAAACCCACGCAGTGTGACCCTAACACAATTGGTTTCAGGGGTGCCGGGGTCCCATGGAGACTTGATTTCCAGGCTTGTGGGATGGCTGAGGGAGTAGAGGTGTTCACTGTGCAAGCCTAACAATGTGGTTCAGCTCCTAAAGCACACAGTGGAAGGAGAGAATGGACTCCCACAAGCTGTCCTCTGACCTCCTCACACACACTGTGGGGTGTGCACACAAGATCAATAGTGAGTGTGTTTTTTAATTAGTTTTTCCAACTACAGTAGGGTCACTAAAAGTATATCATCGTCAAGTGTGCCTGGGCATCCCCATAGCTTCCTATGTTCGGTGATTCAACTAAGATCTGGTAGGCATCCTGGGGTTGTTCCCAGCCTGGCCAGCCTGTACTTCTCCCTTCTCCCTCTGGAAAGCTCTCCCTCCTTTGCAGGACACTTTTTTTTTTTTAATTTTGGTTTGGTTTGGTTTTCAAGACAGGGTTTCTCTAGCGGGTCGGTGGTGACACACGCCTTTAATCCCAGCACTCGGGAGGCAGAGGCAGGGGCATCTCTATGAGTTCGAGGCTAGCCTGCTCTACAGAGCAAGTTCCAGGACAGGCTCCAAACTACAAAGAAACTGTGTCTTAAAACACCAAGAAAAAAAAAAAAAAAGACAGGATTTCTCTATGTAGCCCTGAAGCTCACTGTGCAGACCTTGCTGGCCTCAAACACCCAAAGACTTACCTGCTACTGCCTCCAAGTGCTGGGACTAAAGGCGTGCACCATCATGCCCTATTGTACATGTCTCATTTAAATCAAATACTGTGACTATATCCTGAGCTACTGAAAGCACAGGAGAACACACCCTTCAAACTATCTTTGGGGGGTAGTTTGCATTTTTTCCAGGAGTCAAAAATTCTTGAACTGCTGTGTAACAAACATCAGACAAGCACTGGAAAAACATTCTAGGTATGAGGAATTTCTGTTACACATTCTTGTGCAAAGGCACAGAGTGTACAGAGAGAACATTATGTCTTTGCAGAACAAGAAATCAGTATGATCAGAACCAAAGGTCTCCATGTGGAAAGCAAATTCAGAGAGGGAGGCAAGAACTCTGAATGATTAGGTTTTCTGCTTTGGCTGAGAACACACCCTCCTCCAGCCCTTCCTTTAAGGTGGTCCTGGCTCAGATCCTGGCTCATCCCTTCGAACCCATCTTACCCAGCTGTCAGTGACATTCCACAGATTTCCTCAGAGCAGATCGCTTGTCTCTGGTACCCTGCTGGGGAAACTCTCCTCCCTCAGCCTTCCCCAGTCTTCTGCTTTGTCTCAACCCAGGGACATCACCATCCATTCTCAAATGTATCTTCCCTTTGTGCTAAGCCTTGTCAGTCTCCAGCCCTCACTAAGCATAGACAATCGAGAGATTCCTCCTGTCTCCCTGCTTTGGAAAATCACACTCTAACTGTGTTTAACAGCTGGAAACTTACTGTTTCGTATGATGGGAAGATACATCTGGTTTCTGTGCATTGCCCTGACACCCTCGTTCCCACAGCTGTTCAAGATTCTAGTGTTGTATCAAACCCTTTGCTCCCAGAATGCATGGCGTGGCTTCCAACCAGATTCAAGACAGAGTCTTCTACGTTGGATGTGTTCTGGAATTCTTTGCCGATCTCTCGTGCTGTAAAGTGGCAATAGACTTGTTCATATCAGAAAAGGAGGGCAATGTTAGTCCACAGCATGCAATGTCAATGCCTGTAAATATTACAGCCAAAGACCTTTGACAATCAAGGCTTTCACACACCAAGCATCTGCAAGCAGAGAACATCATGGTGGAAATAAAGAATGTGAGGGCTGTGGGATGTACGGGTCCTCCGGGTGTGCTGGGGAACTTAGCAAAGGCATAAGGTGAAGTCAGAGTTTCAAACCCTGGTAAGTACATGGACAGGATGCAAGAAAACACGGTGTCTTAAGGGAGTGCTTACGTAACCCAGGCTGACATCAAACTCACAATCCTGCCTCAGCCTCAAGGGCTGGGATGGCGGATGTGCAACACTGCTCAGAAAGGATTTTATTTCTTATAATGCAAATTCTAGATTTCTGAAACCTCCAAGCCAGAATCTGCTTTTGTGGTTGACCAAATTACATATAAACTAAATTCATCTCCTTCTCAGCATGATTGAGACCATGTTGTTGGTAAAGAAACAATGGATTACGAGATTATAATGGGAATGTTGGGCGAATTTCAACCCCTTTCCATCCTCAAATTATACTAGTCTGGATTCTATCACCAACAAAACTAGCCCTCCCACCCTCCAAAGATGTCAGCTAAGGCATGTGTGCTGGCACAGGCCTTTAATCCTAGCACTGGGGAGGCAGAAACAGATCTCCACCAGCCTGGTCAACAGAGTGAGCTCCAATACAGCCAGAGCCACAGAGAGAGACCCTGTCTCACAAACAAGAAAAGAAAAGACAGAAAAAAGAAAATGAAAAAAGAAAAAGAAAAAGTCACCCTCTCCCTTCACAATGGTTATATAACCACCTTGTGTGAGGTAGGCACCTCAAGGGGAGGGGGCATTGTGATTATTCTTCAGACCTACACTTGGTCCCAACACTTGCAGACACATAGCAATCCTAACAGATCCAAAGAGAAGGACTACGGAGGGTGACTGGAAAACACGTCCCAGAAGTGAAAAAAACTTCAGGCTTTATCAATTTGTATCAGAAAAACCCTGGGGAATATTTATCCGATTCTAAGGATGTTACAGCAAGGAGAAAGAAATAAATTTTTTTACATTTATTATTTATTTGTTTGTTTCAGAATTGGGGGTACACATGCCATAGTGCACATGGAGAGAAGTCAGAAGACAATTTTCAAGAGTGTGTTCTCTCCCTCCACAATGTGGGTTCCAGGTTCAGGTTGTCAGGCGTGGTCCCCTTACCTGCTGAGCCATCTCACCAATCTAGAAACAGAATTTTTGATTGTGCTGAATTTTTACTGATTAGATATGTGAAGTGATTATAAGTATGTTCATCTACAAAAGCTTACTGAAATGGTTGGCTGAAACCTTAACAATGGGCCTACACTAAGTTAAGAAGAAATGCCCAGACTTCCTTGCTACCCTGAAGAACAAGATCTCCAAAGGCTCTCAGAACCACTCGGCAAGAAACTTCGGCCACGGAGAGCATTTATCTGGCAGGGTGAACAGTACACCTCCACTCTCTTCACTGAACTGCACCCTCTCTCCAGCCCTCTGTCAAAACACGCCCTTCACCAATGCATAGAGCTGATGCTGAACTAGCAAATACTGCTTGACACACGGTGAGACATTTATGTGCCAGGAAGCACGAAAGAGGGGCATTACATAGAAATTAGGTCACCTACCATTTTGTGGAAGTTTTTACTTTCAGTCGTATCTGCTACTTCCAAGCATCACCCCTACGGTGAAGGAAGACGAAGACGTGCACAGCCTTTGGAATGGGAATCACTGGGTATCTATCTATCCTGTGGGGCACAATGCTATGGCCTACCTAGCAACCCCTGAGGGTGCCACTGGGTGGCAGAACAGTGCCTTGGAAAGTTCCCTGGTTTCAAAAAGACTAGAATGACCTTGAGTTTCATTTACTGTGTGGAAAGCAAAAACAAGCAGCTTCCCCAAAAGATTACAGCAATTATAAAATGAAGCCACAGCAAGACAACTCTTTGAAGTGGACATCTCTGGGTGTCAGTCCAGTGTAAAAATTGCCCCAAATGGATTGTTATTAAAAAAAAACTTTTATTATATCTTCTTTAACTTGTATCACAGATACAGAATTACATTTAAAAACAAAAGCGGTAGGGCCAGTGAGATGGTAAAGGTGCTTGGGAGACTAGCCTGATAACAAGAGTTATATCTCCCAGACCCACATGGTAGGAGAACTGATTCCAGCCCTGTTATCCTCTGACCTCCACATGCACAAACAAATGTGGATAATCGTGTACACACACATGCATGCACATGCTACAGCAATGAAGTAATAAAAATTTTAAAAGAAAGAGCAATTTAGTAGAGCTTTAAAATAACGATAATGCAGCCATACCCGTCTAACACTTGAGCTAGAATGCAGGTAAAATGGTCATTTAGTTAAGAAGTAGAACACTCACTTCGGGAGCAAACGGAGCCTGGAATTTATCTTCTGCCTGCCTAAAACTGTTGGGTGAGATGTGCATTCATCCTTTCCAGCCTCTGGAAGGCTGAACTAGACTTGTTTTAGGCTCAGCCGTCTCTAGACAGAAGGCTGCTCTTCACATCCAGAATGTACCAATGCTGACCAGCAGGGGGCGGCAACTTCCCACTCATGGTCCAGCGCGGCGCTCGGTGGCTTCTGTTTCAGAAACCTGAGCTTCAATCACAACTGACCAATTTGGATCTTGGCTTAGGGATCTCATCTCTCCAAACTGTGGTTTCCCTATCTGGAATTATGGAACAAAAAAAAAAATGCAACTGATCCCCCCCATAAGGTCATCGAGATGATATGGATAAACAACAAGACATTTTCCAAACATTAGTTGTTCATAAACATTAAAATAATGAAAATTGATTTGTTTCCATTCTCACCAGGCAAAAGGCAAAAAAATATAGTTCCCATTTTTCAGATGAAGAAACTGAGGCTCAAAGGAATTCCACAAGACCTGAAGACTCCTGGGGCAAAGAGCAGTTTTGCGCCATCTCTATAGACTCTGTATTTTACAGTAATGGAAGTCATCCATAACCCTTCTGAGGTTCTATGATCCCAAGGCCACACCAGCAAGTCAGTGGCCAACTTAGGACCTAAGGAGTCAACAAACTGAGTCCCCGGCCCGGTGGCCCATCTGCCTCATTATTCTGTTTGTAAGTGCTTGGGTGTCATCTCACCTGTGAGTCTTGTTCCTCTGATTATATTGGGAGTTAAAAGAAGAGGGGCTCCTCCAAGGAGAGATCATGGCTGTGAGAAAGCGTTTGCTACATACATTAAACAGGACTGGAAGAACAGCAGGAACGGATCTCAAGTGTGTGCCCACATACACATGTAGGCACAAGTTCAGGCCTGGTTTGGTGGCACATGCTGGAAATCCCAGAATTCAAAATTCTGGAGGACTGTGTGCTTGAGGCTATACAGGAAAACCTTGACTCCAAAGCACCAGAAGTTCCAGGCTAGAGAGATGACTCGGTGCCTGAGAAGGCTTGCTACTCCGTCATGGGATGAGAGTTTGGATTCCAGCGCCCATGTTGGGTGGTTCACGACCACCTGGACCCAGATGCCCTCGTCTTCCCTCTTCTGCCCTCTTCACAGCAAACAATTCACATGTGTGTTACATCCACTTAAAAGATTATGACATTGAGAATCAAGAATGAGGCTAGTGCAAGCCCTTCAGCTGCCCTGGGCCTCAGTTCCTCTACCTGAGCTGTAGGGAGCATAAGCTCTATCCCACCTGGAGGCTCACAACCTCATGGCCTCCCATCAGCCCCCTTAGCCTTAGCCAAGCTTCTGGGCCGATGTGAGCTCTGTGTGTGCTTCACTTCTCACTGCCTGGCATTTGCCCTCCTCTACAGACAGGATTCCACACAAGTCTCCACCTTGTCTCTGAAGCTCTCAAAGCTCTCCAGACTGGGGTTCTCTGTGTAACCCTGACTGACTTGGAACTTCCTATTTTTGGTTGTGAGCCTAGCCTTTAACGGCTGAGCCATCTCTCCAGCCCTGGAACTTCCTGTGTAGACCAGGCTGGCCTCCAACTCACAGAGATCTACTTGTCTCTGCCTGCCTGGCGCTGGGACTAAAGGCATGCACCACCACATCCAGTAGTCCTTCTTGAAACAAACTGATAAAGTCTTCCGGCTTTCCTCAGCCCCTCTGGCTGCTGCTCTAATCTTGTGGAAGAGTACCTGTGGCCCATTCCTGTCTCTTTGCTGTCACTCCCACATCAGCTCCATCTGTCCCTTGGAGCCTGGGCCCGGTAGCAAATGTAGATTGATGAGGCCTACCCTCTGCCAAGCACACCAGGCTTCCTAGGTGTGGCCACCAACAGCCAAAATCCAGGGCCACTCAATAGGAGTTTTCTGCCACCTTTCTGTGGCTCCCAAACCCTCTGAGGACTCCCCCAGCCCCTTATTCATTCAGAGATATTATGAACCTCCAGACACTCAACTCCAGGGACCAGTTCTCCATTGGTCCACTGACTTTACTTCTTTATTCTGGACTGGCCAAAAGTACAGGTAGCAGTGGAGGTTTGATTGTTTTAGGGTTTGGGGTTTTATTTGTTTTAAAGATTTTGTTGTTGCTATTGTTGTTGTTCTCAAGACAGGATTTCCCTTTGTAGCTTTGGAGCCTGTAGACCAGGCAGGCCTTGAACTCAGAGAGATCCACCTGAGTGCTGGGATTAAAGGCATGCGCCACCACCGCCCGGCGAGGCTTATTTTTAATTTATACGTATGTGTATTCTGCATGCATGTATGTAAGTGCACCGTATGTGTACAGAGCCCGAGGAAGCCAGAAGGAAATGTCAGCTGCACACTGGAACTGGAGTTCCAGCAGATTACAAACCACCACATGGGCCCTCTGCAAGAGCAGCAACTACTCTTAACCACCGAGCCATCTCTCCAAACCCTTGTTTTGTTTTTGAGTCAAGGTCTCAATTTTGAAACAAGTTCTTTCTCATGTGGCCCAGGCTGGCCTCAAACTTAGTCTACAGCCAAGGGTGACCTTGAGCTCCTGCTGGGACTATAGGTGTGTGCCCCAGTGCTAGGCCTTTCCTCATCACTACGATTGAGCACTTCCTGTACATCAGGCACTGGGGGCTTTGCCTACACTTCACTTACTTATTTACCCTTCACAACCATGAGAAAGAAGGACGACTATCAGCTGAGACAAGGGAGGCATAGAATTGAAGCAACCCGATCAGGGTTGCACAGTTAGCCATACAGTTCCCACCCAGTCTCGCATCCATAACTGGCTCTGACTGCAGGACATCAAGCATCTGCCCTTAGCCACTCGGCTGCGTTGTTATTTTGTCTCTGAGCAGAACAACCCACAGGGCAGCAGCCCCTCCATCCCCCTGGCCTCTGAGAACCCTTCTTGGTAGCTTAGACCCTTTCCTGCTACGGCTCCATCTGTCTCCCGGCCATACCCCTCACCTGCCCACCTAAGCCCACCCCATCTGGAGTAGTTGTCAAGTCAACTCTACCTCCATACCTCAAAGGGGTCCCATTGTGCTAAAAGAGCCACGGTGCGGGACAGGCTTGGGGAGACAGTGGATCTGAGAACACTTGGGGAGATAGGACCAGATTATTACAAGCACCTTCTTGATCTGAGAACTGAGAACCCTCGCTTTCAGGGGGCCCTTGTAACAAAGGTAGAGCTGGCCTTTAAAGTCCTTTAACATTCACAGAATGAAGAGAATGTCAGGCCTGGGAAGGACTTCAGAGGAAACAAATCCCACTCCCTTCACTTTTCCCCCCAGGGATGCCTACGCCCAGGGAGGGGCAGAGGCCTGGCGAACCATCTGGCCAGTGGTGGGAGGAAAGGCAGTGCTCTCTTGCCTGCCGGAGGACCCATCTCAGCAGGTCCCCAGCCAGCAGAGAAAAGAGTGGGAGGAGCCTGGGAGAGCAAAAAGCAAAAGCTGCAGAGCCTGGCTCTGAGCCGGCCTGGCCTGCTCGGCTCCAGAGAGCCTCAGTAGTTTTCCATAGCCAGTAGGCCAGTAGCCCGGGCCATGTGCTCCCCTCTCCCCTTGCCCTACACATTCTTCTGCATATTCAGGCAACACACACAGTGGCATTCAGGGCCCTGCTAGGACTGGAGAAAAAGCAGGGATAGGGGCAGAAACCCAGATACACGCAATACTTCCAGATAAGGGTTTGGCCAGAAATGCACAGGTCAGGAAAGATCACAAAGATGTCAGAAAGGTGAAGGGTCCCAGACCTGCATGGCTACATCCAGCCACTGCTCATTGCTCCAAAGATACAGCAGGCCCATTCTCAGAGGCACGCACAAAAAAGACCACCGCAGATACGCACGTCCACACCCCCCAGACCACGCCTCTGCCACCCCCAACTATTTCATCTATAACAAACATGAGACAAAGAATGTGGACAGGTCCTGAGCCACCCGAGGTCTGGAAGGCAAGGGTTAGACAACACAAATCTTACTCAGCACAGAGACAGCACCATTCCTTAATTCCAGAAATTTCACTGGAATTCCTTATTCTGTCCCTGGGAGCTGGAGTGAATCTTGGCATTCCTCCACCACTGTGGCCCTTTCTTTGTCCCCACTTGTATGGACAGAGTAGAGGGACATCTGTGAAGTCCTCTCTTTGATTCCCTCCAATCCCCTCTCTACCCCTGTCACCCACTCTCACTTGGTTGGCCCTTTCATCCCTATGGTTGTTACCTGAAACATCAGCTGAATACATTTACAGTATCCACCACACAGAAGGGTGGGGAACAAAGACTTAAGCGCACCAACCCATGACTCCCGGCCAGGCCAGAACCTCCCTCTAGCCGTTGGGTGAGCATCTGGGGGCTAGCTGGCTGCCTACACTTAGCTTTGGGAAGGGCAAGGGAGAGTCACAGACCCAGCTCCTCACCTTAGTTCGGCCCTTTGAGCCTCCCATCTCTAGTTTGTAAACTGGAAAATGAAACCCTAACTCTCAAGGAAATACAGTTGATCGTGAGGCCTTCCTGAGTGCACTGACTTCAACCAAACCAAAAGTTAGACCGAGTCAGCTGGTAATGCAGCCTTTCCTAACCTCAGTTTCCCTGTCTGGGGAAATGCTAACACTAAACCTGGAATTTGGAAGAAGCCCTGTCCAGAACAGAGAGCTCTCTGCCCTCAGACTTCCCACCTAGGTGCACCATTCATTCCCATGCTACTCAGTCAGCTGGAAGGGATTTGAAGCCCCAGGGGATCAACAGGGTCTGTACTGAGGCCACTTTGTCCCGGGGGGGGGGGGGGGGGGGGGCCAGCGGGCCCTGCCACCCTCCGCCAGGCCAGGCAGCTTCAAGGGCTTGCACTGGATTTCCTGGCCAGGTGCCCAGCACCCTGCGGGCTGTTTGGGGATGCATGGTATAGGGACAGCAGGGTCTCTGAGGGAGGTTCTCACCTAGCTGTTCCTGCCCACTTCCAAATGGGTGCCTGAGCTAGTTTCCCAGCACCACCCTAGAAGGGTGTAGACCTGGCCTTCTGCCCCCACTCCCACCCCCAAGTCCTGGGCAACCAAAGAGACAAGGGATTGCTCCATA